CCCTAATCCACAGCAAACTGTCAATGCAGAGAACTGTAGTCACTCATCAATCGGAAAGGTGTTCTTCTTCTCCACGACAATGCATGTCCATATATGGCACGTTTGATGCAACACAAGATTATGGAGTTGGGTTGGAAAGTTCTCCCAAACCCACCATATTCTCCAGAAAAGGCACCATCAGATTGCCACCTTTTTTGTTAGCTACAACACCATCTTAAAGGGAAATCATATGCAAATATGGAAGTTGTTAAAGAGCAACATTAATTTCTTGGCAACCTAATAAAATCTAAATGCAATTTAACTGTTTGTCTAACTACAACATATTTAGGTGTGAAACAACTGTATGTGCTATCATGGATGAGCTCTTTCTAATGACTATATACATGGGTCAAGTAACTTACATGTAACTTGTAAAGCTCAAGGAATAGTATAGAAGATGGGCATAACACCTATCAGTCTTGTAGATGTACGTCTAGACAATAAGTACATTTACATGCCCTATTGACATGTATCATCCAAAGTTCTTTGGCCAAGTTCTGTTAAAACTAGAGATAAATTTTTCTAACCCCCGAGTGTGAAAGTTGAGATTTTTCATTGCTCTTGAGTCTTGACAACAAAACTGTTTAAGTCTTTTTTCTTTTTTTTTAAGGTTTCTTTTGAAACAAAGGAATTAAGACTTAGATAACATGAAACTTTGAATTATAACATGCATTATAATGTTAATTTCATTGACATATTGATAGTAAAGTTATTTAATTAAATTTTGAATGTAACCCATGACTTGTGTAGGAAGGAATTTAAAGGGGTACCTGTAGCAAAAGGGTTATTTTTGTTAAGATTTAAATTCAACCATTTGAATTAATTTCTGTTAGACAAAGTTTATGTACCACTTAAAAAAATGCTGGATCCTTTTTTTTTCCATTTACCTTCATATATGCAATTATGTTGTTTGTTTTGGTTTTCAACTTTGATTTGTCTTTTCATAGCATTATACCATGATGCCTTCCATACAAGGCTTTAGAACCTGTTTGGATGGATTTTTCTGACTGTAGTGATTGATGACTTGGGAAAAAGGTCAGGAGTGAGGATGTTAAAGGAAACCCAGGTATTTTATTTTAACATAGTTTTGTAAAAATTGCAAATGATTTTTTGTTTGTCAAAATAACTTTCAATTTTGTTTTAGAAAACTTGAAGGTTCTGAATTTAACATCATAACAGGAATTTTTCTTTTATTAAACAGTTTTAAGGACTGGAATATTTTAGTTCTCTAAAGCATGTATCCATGTGTGTGTGAGGGAGAAGGTAGTAAAAATATTTTTAAAATGTTGTAAAAGAGCATTACAAAATGATTGATAATACAGGGTGTCCCAAAATTATCTTTTCTATTTTAAAATTTAGTAATTAACTAACTAACAAAATACAACCATGCAGTTTTCAACATCTTGTAGCCAAACTCAAACAGTTTTTATTGACACATAAATAGACTTCTACGTGTGTGCTGTTAGCGGCTGTCAGCACATTTAACCAATATTCAATTTCAGTCCATGTTCGCTGCAATATACTCACAGTTACAGTGGCAGTATGATAGAAAAAAATGAATATTTTTGAAATCTGTGTAGCTGAATTATAGAAAATCTATTATTAAAACCAAAACAACTTTTATGAAGTTTAAATTTGTAGGCCTGTGTTATTTATTGAGACATCTGGTTGTTAGAGAGTTAACTGAATTTAGTTCCAAAAACATTTGTAAAGTGATCAAATTGCCCTAGTTTTTGTTAGTTCTAAGGATTTAATAATAAGCATTTAAATTTAAGTTGATTGACTAATAATTGTACAGGAACCACACTGAAATGTAAGTGAAAAACAAATTTGAAAATGTTTGATTTGTTTACAGTATTACTAGGATTTAAAAATTAGCTTTTTTAGTGCTTTTTAATTTAAGAATTAGCAATTTATGAGATAGGCTTATAAGGGACCAAACTTAGCTCATTGTGATCTTAGGCCAGTATTAAACTGATTAGACTGTTACATAATTGTTTTAATATGGGTTAACTGTTACAAGAAGCCAAGTTCAATTCTCTGTAAGCCCTAAAATAAAGATGTATAGATTTTTTAAAATTTCTATTTTATAGTACTTATTACTTGCCAATATTTAATAATGATTAAACTCCATCTTCAAGAGACATAAACATGGGTGAGCTGTGTGATAATAAGTATCAAATACATTTTGGAATGCAATAAAAATTTAGATAATTATCAGCCTTATTGGTTTATTATCGGACTTGTGTCAAGACGAGTTGAATTTTATTCTATCCTTAAGCCTATAACATAAATCAATGTCATATTTATTTTTAATTAGTTTATATATTTATATTAGTCTGCTCATTAGGAAACAGAACCACACTCACCACTAGAAGCATTTTTACTTGAATAGTACAATTTTATCTAGAATTCAGTACAAGATGATGCCCAGGTTTGTTTCAAAGAATAATGTAAATGAATTTTATTCAACCCATAACTCAGAGGAATTAAATAAAATTCAAAATCCAAACAGATTTATTCTATAACTTATAAAATGTTCTTGTCAACACAGTATGCAATCGATAATTTCTCAGATATAAATTATTTTATTGCCTGAATTAGAAAGTATCATCAGGCTACAGGCCAGTTTGTTTGTTTATCAGTGGATATTTTTGTTAGTTTGTATAAATATCTATTACTTTATTTATACTGTGTAATATTTTTATACGTTTTCTCTAAACAAAGGAGGTTTTGATACATACACAAATGACCTTTATTAAATAACCCATTTGAAGGTAGATGCACACACACACACATTATACATTATACACTTTATTTGATAAGCTTTTATCATGTCTTTCTTTACAGGGGTGCCAATATTCACACAAAATAGAATGATTATGGACTAAATAAAATAAGTATTAAATACAAGATTTGTTAGCAACCAATTTCTGACTCAACGGCAGCAGAAATGGTAGAACACTTTATACAAACCATACCTGACACTTTGTAAATCTACAGGAATATACATTATTTTATGTAGAGTCCAGAGGTGTACACCAAACTATAGTTAGATAACATCTAAAGAAGGTATGATTGTTTTTTATTAGTAGAGATGGGTGACTTTTACCCTAATTCAGACAACGATCATGTCATTGTTCTAGTACATTACCTATGAAATGCTTACCATTCCCAAACTTTGTTAACTGTGAAGAACTACTGAGACAATGAACCAGAATCTCTTGAGTGTTTGTTCTTCTCGAGATGAAAGTGAGGTCAGATTCAAAGTTAACCTGCAAATGTAAAGTTGCAAAATGTTTGAGGTCTTACAAGTGTAGCAGGTGTGGATGGGATCACAGTGACACACCAGTTGCTCAAAATGTAAACTGTAAGTGAGGTCAGAGAAACTTCAACAGAAGAGGTGCTGTTAAGCACCCAGAGAGAGAAGTATGTTTGCATAGAGGAATGGTAAACTTATGAATTTATCTGACGGCTTGCCCTCAAATAGGGATGAGAGCAGAAGGAGGAGCAAATTTCAAGCTCTTGTAATGAATAGAGAATACATTTTTTTTTGGGGGGGGGGGGTGAAGTGGAAGAATATTATGAGGATAAGAGGAGTACTTAGGTATGGTGAAATACCATGCCAATATCTTAACAAATACTGAGATAAAACACAAACAGCATGACAAAATGATTCTTGGATCATGCCTTATACAATCATGTATCTCACTCTTAGGCTTCTGGATTTTTGGATCTGAATGGATATCCCACATACTCATCAAAATAGACATATTTTCTGCCATTGAGTCTGAAATTACTAGTTAAATAAAACACCTCTCAGTTAATCCATTCAAAATTTTCTGGAATTAGATATGTTTGTAACAGGTTACTTTAGTGGAGTTTTGGTTAGGCCTGTTGTATCTTATATAGGGTTGCTAAATGCAGAAAGAACTTGTTGTTACCAGAAAGATTGAGAAGAAATAATTATCATTAGAAGTTTTAATAATTAGCATTGCATTAATCAGATTCAAAATCTTTAGATAATAAGTGGTTTGGATAATTGAGAAAGAAATGCATTAAAATATGTAATTTTTAATCAGATTGTATATAAAAACAATATATATTTACACATTTACTGTAAAACTTTTGAATTAATGTATGCCCTTATTATCACACCACCTACAAAATCAGAGAATTGACCCACTTAGGATAAGGTTGATTATTGCTTCACGATTGCACACATTTTAAAAGTATTTTACATGTTTAAGTGATGAATATTTTTTCTTTTCAATCTTTGTAGAAGTTTGGTTTTTTATTATCTTGTATGTTTTTTACAGGTATGATTGGGAGATTTATGGTGACATCATCTCAACAACCTATCAGTGTGTGTATTGTTGTTTTATCTAAGAGTAATTTGATATATAGATTCAATACAAAGAAACAGCAGTTAATGGTTGGAATATATGAGCAACTGTAAATGAATGTATAAAGATTTAATAAAAGTAAAGAAAAAATTATACAAAGTGATGAAATGAAATTAGTTATATGTGTTGAATAAGTAGAAGTTTTTGATTTAATTCGTCCATACTTATGGTTTGACATTAAGTTCTACAGTTTAAAAAACTGCTTAATACAAACCAAGACTTATTTTATTTGTTGTCCTTCTAGTGTGAAAGATGAACAGTTTTGGTAGTACAGGGGATTTTGAGATAATGATTCTTTAATCAACTTTAGAAGAGAAGAAATGGACCAATACTGATCCTGTGTCATGGTTGCAGTCTCCACAATCATTTGTGTTAGTATTCTATTGTACAGAAAGTTGTTAACTTTGTAAACATCCCTAATCATTTTTTTTTATAAATACAAATGCTACTTATGGGGATACCACTAATTAGGATCATGTAGGTACTTTGATAATATTACATCTTGCGTGTAAAACCTAGTATTTGCCTAAAATTTCAGTTGTACGCTGGTCATAGTACGTGATATTTCCTTTGTGACCTAATATTTTGTTAATAATCCTTAATGTTTTGAAAGTAACATGTAATTGGATGTGTGTACAGATGATGTATTGTGTCTTAGAAGATCTTATACATGTATATGAGGGTTGGCAAGCCAATCAATTGACCAGTCAAAACCTACATTAAATATTGTAGATAACTTCATATTAGATGAGGTTTTCTAATAAATTATCAAGTCCCAAGTCCAACCCCAACTCCTCTACTTAGAGGTGATGTTGGAATTACACTCCTACTTAAAGACTTCAAAATGACCAATTGTTAAATCCAAACAGTAAAAAAATTTACTTATTGTGTCATAGCTTAATATTTCTTAACTTTCTATGTATTTTAAAAATATTCTGTGTATATTAATATAATGCACAAGTTTAATGGGTTCCTCATCTTCACCTGCTAAAACGTTTTTGAGTAAGTGGTGTTATACTATGCCATATTGTAATATCTTTCAAATAGTTGTTCATGTAATGACTGGTAATATCATTTATTAATTACAATACACAACAACAAAATAGCACTATATATGCAGCACTGGCTTTTTATTATTGTCAGAAGGCTTGAAATAAACATAAAGTGGTTCTTTTTTATTTTCATGTAATTTAAATTAAGTAAAATTCAATATATATATATAAGAAAGATAAAAAAAACAAAACAAATAATAGAAATTGGACCTTTTTTACCAGTCAAATACCCAGCCCTGATATATATGTATATATCTACACGTGTGTGTTTATTTCACTGTGTATTTTGAAAATAATTTCATGTTAGAAACTTTTTTGTGGGGTTATCAAGTATACAAGACACAGTATAATGTGTGTGTGTTGAGTTTGGTTATTTCCAGTAAATGATTATTTTTTTCATGTCTTTTAGGTTTCTACTTCTAAAAGAAAAGTAAACAAGTTTAATGCAACATTGTGTTTCTTTGGTTTATGATGCAAACTTTCATGCCTTTTTCTAAAAAAAAGCCCTTGTATCTTTTTTTAATATTTCAGTTATGTTATATACATTTATGCTGTTATGATGTGCAAGTAAGTATATAAGAAACATAAGTAATCTTCATAAGATTCAGTAGTAAGTTTGAAGGATTGTAACACTAAAACCAGGTTTTGATATCTGTGGTAGGCACAGCACAGATAGCCCATTTTATAGCTTTGTGCTTAACAACAAATAAACACAAACAAATCAGTTCATTTTTGGTAGTTTTAAAAATGCTCTTTGTACATCTCTTGTTTATGTGAGGATTTTTTTTTAAGTATAGAAAGTATCATTAAAGCAGAGAATGAAAGGAATTTAAACAGCACATTTTCACATTACTGGATAATTGTAACTGTTATTCCAGGAATTTCAAGAACTAAATTATTTTCTGGACATCGATATGTGATTGTAAAATATTAATTACAATCATTTTGAAATAAAAAACTAAAATGTACTTCCTGATGTAAGAAACAATTTAAAGATTGAAAATATGGTGTAATCACATTAAGTTTCTAGGAATTGCACAGGTCATGAAAATCCTGGAATTTTATTAAAACATTTTTCAGTACTAGAAATCCTTGAAACTCTAACTCCATCGTATCCACATCCACTATTTTATTGATGGCAAGCCATAACATTGCGTTTATCTTAGTTTTACAAAAAAAAACAAATCTTCAGAAAATGTAATTGATAAAATGGGAAGTATGCTGTTTTAGTAACAGTGATCAATAACAGGCTTTGAACTACGTATATCCATCTACAAGTAAACAGTTTTCATGTTGGAATGATATTGTTAGCATAAAATAAGCTGAAGACTAATTTGGCAGAAATCGTAAAATTGTTAATAGGAAACAGAGCATGAACATTTCACAATTCTTCTAATTCCAGCTTCAGCATAAATACTTATAAAATAATTAACAATGTTTCTTTCTTAAATTTTTCATGTGTTATTTCCTAAAATTTGTAAACAAAAAAGAAATAGGAAGAAATGAAACTCCAAATGGCAACAGTATGTTAGAATGAGTGACATAAGCACCATGCATGAAATAGTCAAATATTTGCCATTAAAGATGGCTCATTGGCTTATACCTGATTAGATCACCTGTTATTTATAAATGATTGATGTAGCTAGTGATACTTGGAGAAATAATTTGGACCTCATTTCTAAACATTTGTGGAGACAATTTTCTGCTTTTAAGGAATAATCATAACTAAAAATACAGTACTGTGATGTATGTTATTAGTATTATTTTGTCTTTTTATGTTCTTGGTAATTTTTCTTTCAGATCTAATCTCAGTAAAAATCTTCAAAACTGGATAATGATTTTACTTGTAACCATTATACCCTGTGATGACTGTTGCATATGACGCTTCCCTTGACAACAGATAAAATGATTCAGAATAATTACTGTTTTGAACATAATTTAAACTTGGGTATGGGTTACCATACGAGAAAACTTGCAGGCTGAAAACAATATTCAAATATATAGAGGTTTTTATTGACCCATAAGATATCCATTTCCTTGAAAAGTTCTTTGTCAGGTGGAATTGCAACAATGAATTGAGTATAAGTTCAAAAGTGTGTAATGTAATTGTGTGAGAAAACTACAAGATAGACAACATTGTTAATGTATGTGATAATATGAGAGTAGTCTTAGTAACAATAGGAGTCTGAATCTTTCATTTGTTGGCTTGGTTGGTATGGTGACGTTTAGGGATGTATGTTCAGCATCCAGTCAGATACAGGTTCACTTGTTGTCCTAATGATAAGTTGAAATGATATGTTCCATAAACATTTAGTTTTCGTTATGCTCTGAGGATGTTTTATCTCCACCCAAACCACAGTATTTATGAGAAATAACTCAAGGCTTTCTCGTTATTGTTAAACTAAAGATGGGAAAAGTTGAAGCATTCTGAGAGCACTGTAAATGATGAAGTCATTAGTGCTTTATTGAATAAAGCATTGTAATTTAGAATTTCTTTTAATGGCTGGTTTCAAAGTGTTGTTTTCTTGCTGTAATAAATATTTTCTTTTTTCACTAACTCTGGTGCTGCTGTTATTGCTAGAATATTTTGTACATCTATTAGTATGTTTCAGGGAGACCTTTGACATTGGGAATATAACTGTGTATCTGTAATTTTCTTCACTTATTCTTGGTGTTTATCTTTATTTTCTTTTTTTATCAAGTGTTCTGGGTATCCATTGTTAAGGAGGGTTGTAGTGGTGTGGTTTTCTTCTAGTTTTGTAGTTTCTTCAGTATTACAAATCACGTTCATTCTAAAAACTATGCCATTCTTTACAATATTGATGTGAATTGATTTGTAGTTTCTGCTGGTTTCCTTTAAACTCCTGTAGGCAAGTTATTTGTCATAGTAACTATCATGTCTAGGAATAGGTGTTTATATTTTATTTTCATTGGTAATTGAACCTTGGGATATTTTTTCAGGAGTTTTATACAAATTCTGGAATCTTTATGTTGTTTGTGGCCATGTTACGAATGTATTGTCAACATATCTCAACCAAATCTTAGAATGGCTGTTTTGAGGGACTTATCTTCAAAATATAGGATAGAAATTAGTTATTAATTAGATTTGGGTAGTTGTATATACTACTAATCATGATAACAATTTAAACGTCATTATTTCCTGTCATGATCATTAACACCATTCAATGAATAAATATGAAGTTACTCTATAGAGAAGAGAATGGAAAAATTATCCCAGGAGGATGAACAATACTTTCCATCACGAACACAAAAAAAATTGCTCAATGCATTTAAATATTCATCCACAATAACATCTTGTTTTGTATTTAAAAGAATTGTGCTGAAGTTGTATTAGATTAGAATCAACTGAATATTGTCAATCAGTAACTCAGTGTATAATCACAAACTTGATATCAGTGTTTATTTTTTATATGATGCGTAATAATCTGAAGAATTTATTTTTTCAAATAGTTTTACGTACTCTTGATATCAACAGTGTGTACATACTACACTTTTTGAATATACATTGTGTCCCCATCAAAAATAAAAAATCCCATCCAACAATCTTATTGTACTGTTCCTGTGTGTTTCTATCAGTCATTTTTTACACAACAGTTGAAATATAAACAATCTCATTGATGTCATATACAATAAGATTTTTTTCTGGGACACTAAATTTGGAAGCTGTGAACTAATTTAAATTTTTATCACTTTACAAGGTTGTCAGAGAGTAACTATATCATTTTTCCATACTTTCTATTTTTTCTATATATGTAAACTTCCTCCTAACAACTAGTTTTATTTATCTAATTCTAAATTACTTAATTTTTGTTCTTTACTTTTATGTATTGTAAGGAGCAAGTACCCTCCCATAACTGACTACAGATGATGAACATTGGTTTTAGTTTTAACATATTAACGTTTATTTTAAGCTGATGTTTCTTCATTCGTGTGTGTGTTTGTGTAAATAGAGGGTAAACATAATAGCTGTTGTCTCTCTACATTTCGTACTAGGATTCATTTTACCATTCTTGTATATAGTTTCTAGCCCAGTTCTGTCAGTCCTATATGTGTGGTAAGTTTTTGACCAAGTAGTTTATATTTTAAAAACCCATCAAAGTTAGGGAAACATTGTATTTAAATTAACCTAACTATTGTGTTACTTATATACAATAGAATCAATCATAAGTACATTTAGGTTTCAAATTGTGCTGGACGAAAATTATATTAGTTGCAGAACAACTGCAAAAGATATAAATTTGGAGGATAATAACTGCATAATTAACAACCAAAAGGTATTGGAGGATATCCTGTTTCTTCAGTTAATTTCCAAATCACAGATAAAAATCTGTTATGCAAGCAACTGAAAAACAATAATAACAAAAAAGGATTAATGTTTAAGTGCTTAAAACCCACAACACCCCATGGTAACCTTCCATTCATCACTTGGGCTAGTTGTGGGTATGGTAATAATAGCTCACAGTACCAATTACAAAGTTGAGAACTCCAGCAATTTCATTAAAGGTTTTAAAACACATTCACCATTATAATCTTAAATCAAACAATATACCCCCAAACAAGCTTGTATACTGTAATAATATAATGGAACTATATCATCCTCCTATATGATCCAGTAACAAGCAATACATGTTTAACCTAACTTCCATTCTTAACTAAGCATTTATGTGTATGTTATTATTTATTTATTTATTTGTGTGTGTGTGTGTATATATATATTTATGTACAGTATAAAAGCACAATGACATCCATGCTGAATAATAGGAAT